CTCCCTACTGGGGATGTGCCCTCAACCCAGGTACATGCCCTTGACCAGAATGGAACCTGGGACCCTTGAGTCCACAGGCCAACGCTCTATCCACTGAGTCAAACCGGTTAGGGCCCACCTTTTCTATTGAACCCCTTGCAATATAGTTTCCTACCCCATCATTTTACTCCTCTCGTCAATATAATCTGTCCCTATTCCACTCACTATTCCAGGAACTGTACAGGTGACTGGACTATCACCCCCAAGCCTCCCATTTGCCCAGCGAACTCCTATTCAACCCTTGTCTCTTCCTTCCCTCCCAAGCCCGACGTGAATGCCCTATGACACTTGCTGTCACCCCTTCACTGGCTGCCTCCCTAACTAGGCTGAGGGCAGAGGCTGTGTCTTCCATCTTGCCCCTGAACACCTTGTGCTTGGTAAAATTTGTGAGCTGTAAGAATGGCAGGAAGTGTTAGGGCTTCCGTGGTGGGACAGTGAACACATCTCATTTTCCTGTTATGCCCTACAGCCAGGATCTCATGGAGATCAAACAGCCTTAAAATGGCACACTCTCCTCGCCCCAAGTAGCTGTGGGCCATTCACTCTCCTGGTGCATTACCTGGCCTTGCAGATTAGGTTGCTTTGAACCAGGCCAGGAGGTGTGGAGGGAGAAGACAAACAAGAGATCCAAGAACTCACCCCAGCAGATGTGGGCTGGGCAGCTGGGATGAACGGGATGACTCCGTGGGAGGCTGTGACCTTGGGAAGGAGTGAAATAGTGAAAGAAAGATGGGGATGGCTCCCCCACATTTGGTTTCTTGTGTGGCTGGGTCCTATTCTGGCAATGAACCCTAAGTCAGGCCCCAAGGCAGCAGCAAATTGGTGTTTTGTGGGAGCCTGAAGTTTTTATAATATTGGAGACCTGCCTTCAGGGAAAAAATATAAAATTAGCAATGTAAATTAGGTACAGGGCCTTGGAAGGGGCCATGGGAGTCCTGTGAAACGTGCAGTAGTCCAGTGCTAATGTAGGCACATGGGGTGCTGACTCCGGCAGAAAATCCAATATTTGTGGTTATCCATGAATATTCATGCAAATCACCCACTTGAGAAACAAGTTAAAAATAAGCCTCTGGCCCGGTGGGTGTGGCTCAGTGGTTGAGCATGTACCCAGGAGCCAAGAGGTCACCTGTAGATTCCTGGTCAGGGCACATGCCCATTTGGGGGCTCAATCCCCAGTAGGGGGCGTGCAGGAGGCAGCTGATCAATGATTTTCATCACTGATGTTTCTTGTTCTCTCTCCCTCTCCTTTCCTCTCTCTCTAAAAATCAATAAAAACATATTTTTAAAATAATAAGCCTCTGCCTCCATCCCAGAAATATTGGCTCTGTAATCAGAGGTTGGGACCTGGAAGTCTCAGGTGAAACACATTTACTTGGAATGACTTCTTTATGCCGTTAGGCACCAGGAAGAATGAACAGAAGAGGACACTGGGGAGATGGTAATGGGAAGCTGGGGTAATTCTGCCTAGAGCGGCTTCCGGCCATGTTTCCTTGGGAGTCCATGCATTTTCAGCTTTCTCCTAATATAGGTGAATTTCTTCATTTAGGAGGTCTAGAGAAAGCCCAGAGAAGTCTGTAGTGAATTTAGAAGTGATACAAAGGGAAGTGGTAGGAGGGTGTGCTGACCAACAGTGAGATTTTGACGCTGCATAAATGGGAGATGGCAGAGCCAGTGAGGGAGGATTTGGCCTGTTGTTTGCTTTTGTGTGTTTGTTTTCCTGGAATAATGAGTGGGACAGGGGCAGATATATTGGCTAGAGGAAAATCATACAATAATTAATAAATAGTGATACAAGAATAAACTCTGTGTTTCATGTATTCACCACTGTAGGCCTGCTTTTGCCCACCCCCTGTATTTCATCTGCCAACCTACTTAATGATGAGCTTTAGGATGAACTGACAACATATGGAAGGAACTGTCTGAGGCAGGCACCTCTGGTGGGAATGGAAGAAGAAAGCATCAAGCTAGCTGTTTGGTGACCGAAGGACAAAGCAGCTGGTTGCACCAACTGTTTGCTTTTTCACTCAAGGCAATGTTAACACATGCATCACAAAGCTGTTTCACTCTCGGGGTGTACTGACCCAGCCCAGTATTACATCTCTTTGTGCAGCTGTTTCTAAGATGAAGTTAGTCTTTACCTCTACCCAAGCCACGTATGATCTCCACCCATGAAATCCTTCTTAAACCTCAACCAGAAAAGGTCCCAAGCCAATTCTAGCAGATTCTTACAGAACATAACGCAGGGGGTTTACATAAGTTATTTGTTCTCCCTCTGTGGAAATATGCAAATGTTTTACAGAGGAGAAGTACACAGTGGTTGTTGACATGACTAGCTCAGTAACCATGGTTATTAAATTAATAGTCCCTAATCCTTAAGAAGGTAAAAGCATTGCATTGCTGAGTCAGAGAAAGGCAAGTTTCCCAGGGGTATTTTTCTAAGTTTTGCATACACACCACCTCCACAGCAATAACGTAACCTGAGTCCAGATTCCATTGTCCACAACTCTGGATTTAACAGGCTTTTCCCTTCCTCATTTGGACACACACCCCGATCTAACAGGCACGAGGCTCTCTGTAGCCTTCATGTACCCTACGTAGTGGGACTATCCAGATGGTGTGCTATAAAAATGGCTATGTGTTGAGTTGCGAAGTGTTGCCCTAGTCCCTTTGGGAGTGCCATCTTATTATCTTCCAAAATATGATAAAAATTGCATAATTGCATTTAGAAATGCATCTGAGAAAGAAAGAAAACAAAAAATTGCATTTAGAAATGCATCTGAGAAAGAAAGAAAACTCCTTCTCACCTTTATCAATGAGCTCCTTTACATGCAAAAGTGGAACTCTGAGCAAGAACTCAAGAGAACATGTTACTTGTCGGCATCCGAGGAAAAAGAGTGTAAAAAGCAAAGGGGCCCAGCCTGTTTGGCTCAGTGTTTGAGTGTTGATTCATGAACCAGGAGATTACGGTTTGATTCCCAGTCAGGGCACATGCCTGGGTTTCAGGCTCAATCCCCCATAGAGGGCGAGCAGGAGGATCAATGATTTTCTCTCATTGTTTACACTTCTATCTCTCTCTCCCTCTCCCTTCCTCTCTCTGGAATCAATAAAAACATATTTAAAAAATAAAAGCAAGGGGGCCTGGGCCCCTCTTTTCCTTGACTCGCTTCTTTCCAGTCCGCCTCACAGGCACCAAGTACGGCTGTGGGAGTGGAGGCTGTGGCTCCTGCACTGTCATGGTGTCAAGATATGACCCCAAGACCAAGAAGATCCGGTATCCTTTGTGTTGGCCAGGGCTATGCTTGGGTACATCTGGGAAGGATGTGGAGCCTCCCACTTTGCTGTCCATATTCACTCCTCTCCTCCCCACAGGTGTCTATGGCACTCACACAGCTCTGGGCCTGCTCTCCCTGCAGCTTCCTAAGTTCCAGATCTTTCCCATGGACTTTCTTCCCATCAGATTATATTTAATCGGGCTAGTGTGCAACCAGAATATTTGTATTTTCAAAAGCTTTGCATGGCTGGGAATCACTGGGCTTAACTAACCCATGGTGGTTTATATAAGTCAATATGTCATCTTATGATTAGTAAAAAGTTTTTTTCCCCTAGAATGAGGGGGAAAAAACAGAGAATTGAGGGTCTCTGGGAGGCACTACACAAAACACTTCCTTATTCTATTTTTCCATTTCTTTTTAATATCCTACATCAGCCACATGTAGGTTCTTTCTTGAACACTTCCAGAAATTTATGGTTTTATATCTAGAGTTCTCTGTATTCTCAGGAAAATACAGTTTCATGATTCTCCTGGACCGACATGACTCCCTGAATTATGCTACCCATCCCTATGATTCCTAGGTGTTCTCTTTACACAATTCTATCACAGTCATTATCCAGTTACCGCGTGCCTGGTGCCCATCTGTTCTCTGTATGGGGTTGCTGTCACCACGGTAGAAGGTATAGGAAGCATCAAAACCAGGATTCACCCCGTGCAGGTAAGAGTGTACTCTGATTGGGACCAGGTATTGGTATAGGTACCCCACATAGTCCCATGTACTCTAAATAGGTCACCAACTGTGAAATCCTTTGTGTTTTTAAATTCGCATTTTGTTAGATTCCATGCTTCGTAGCTAGGGATCTTTTCAAAGATTGGTGTATAAACCAAGATTTCTTCATTAATTTTAATACATCTTACTTATCTTCTCAGCCCCATCTTTGCCCTAAACTAAAACAAGGACAGTTCAGTCTCATGAGAAAAGAAAATTAGATAGAAAATCAGAAGTTTCTAGAAGATAACTGGTTATCTACCACATTCAAAATACTGAACTCTGAATGAGAGGCTAATTTGTGTAGAAATACTCCCACACTCACCAAATGTCTCAGGAGAAACTGAGCAGCCAGGTGGCAATAAAACACAGCTAAAATGACAACGTGTTGACTAAAGTTTACAGGACTTTTTGAAGAAATGGCAATGCTATTTTCATATACTAGCATAGGAACTGCTGCAGAAGTTGTCTTAAAAGCAGTGTATAGAAAGAAAATTATAAATAGCCATATTTTCCCTTGACATTCTTTCTCTTCGAAAACTGGGCTTGGAGCATAGAGGCTAAATAAGAGTGTCCTCTGACAGTGTGTTACCATTGATGGGTATTTGGTTATAGTGCATGTCTTTCAACCATAATCTTAATGACTTTTTTATCTTATTAAGATCCTACCTCATACCTGACTCATCACCTTAACAGTTATGGAAGCACCTAATGCTACAGCCTATCAGATTTCTTTCTCTCCAGTCATCTTTCAAAATTACACTTGACATTCAATATTACATTAGTTTCAGGTGTAAAACCTAGTGGTTTGACATTAATATAACTTATGAAGTGATCCCCCTGGTAAGTCTAGTACCAGCTGGCACCATACAGTTATTATAATATTATTGACTATATTCCCTATGATGTACTTTACATCCCCATGGCTATTTTGTATCTGCCAGTTTGTACTTCTTAATTCCTTCCCCTTTTTCACCCAGTCCCCCAACCCCCACTCCCATCTGGCAACTATCAGTTTGTTCTCTGTATCCATGAGTCGGCTTCTGTTTTGTTTGTTTGTTTATTTTGTTCTTTAGATTTCACATAGAAGTGAGATCATATGGTATATGTCTTTCTCTGTCTGACTTATTTCACTTAGCATAATACCCTCTACGTTCATCTGTGTCCAAATGGTAAGATTGTATCTTTTTTAAGGCCAAGTAATATTCCACTGTACCACGGACTTTTAAAATTTTTTTAAATCTTTATTGTTGAGATTATTACAGATGTCCTTCTTCCCCCC